AAGGCCAGATGAAATATCACTAATTGTCAAATTGCTATGTAGAAGCTAAAACAAAAGAATATCAGAATAGGAGATTTCTGCTATAGTAACATCTTGGTTCTGGCTCAGAAGGTGCAGCTTATCTTGCTAATGCCGAGAATTGGGGCAATAATCCTTAATAAGTTGTAATTAAAATACAAAAGAACATGAAAGCTAATGAGAGAGATTTTCTAATAAAACTAATATAATACTAAAACTAGTACGAGAATGGAAACAATTTGCAATATTAACCAAGCCAACTAATAAAAATATATGACTTTTTTGAATGGAAAGAAAATCAATGCATTATAATGGAAGTTGGGTAAGAAAATTTATATGAATACATTGGTAATAAAATGGATTTATCAATGGAATAAAGAGTAAAAATTTGTTTTTAAGTAATATTTTATAAATATAATTATAGATCTGTCAACCAATATATTTTTTACATTCATAGAAATTAGTCCATCGGGATATTAAACCTGAAAATTACAGTAAGGTAGGAGACATTTTTAAACTTATTGACTTTGGCTTGATTAGGGGTTCCATATCTGACAACAAAACATAATAAGTTAGTAGTGCCATTTTTCAAGCACCAGAAATTTTAGAAAATAGTAGTTCATATACAGAAAAAGTTGACATCTGGTCTTTGGGCTGCGTTTTTTATGAAATATTATCAACTTAACCATTATTTGATGGTATTAATAAATTAAAATTATAGGATAAACTATCCAGTAAGTTCTGACTAGTATAAGGAATCATAAAAATTAGCCATTTATTACTAATAATAAAATCAAAAACTTAAAAATTTCATCAGATGTTAAGGAAATTTTAATTAAAATGATCTAGTATCAAGATCATGCTCGACCTACAATAGAATGGGTTTAATAAAAATTAAAATAATAGATCAATACACCACCCTTCCAAAAGTATAAGTAAATTAATGAGTTAAATTTTAATTCAGTAATAAGCGAAAAGATCTAAGATTTGTAGCCAAGTCAAATCCCATTTTATTTAGATTAATAAGCTATTACTGAGTGCAACACTGTATTTGAGAAATTGATAAAGGATGGGTAGAAGTAATTTATAGATATCTTAAACAACTAGAATTAGGGATACAAAAGTACTATTGCTAAGTTATAAACTGATTATCAAGCTTAAAATTAAGTGAATTAAAATAAGATTAATTAATAGAATGATGAAATAAATGAAATGATAAAATAATTAGAAAATTTAAAGTATAATATAGAAGAATTAAGAAAAAAAAGAACTTATGAAACGAACAAATTTGAATAAGATTATTAACTTCTGAGGTCAGAATTTGAACAATTTTAATAGAAAAGTAAGTAAGAAGAAGAAAAATTTAATACGGAAAATAATCAACTAAAAAGTAATATATAGGAATTTGTTGAAAATTTAAATAAAGCTAATTAATATTCATAAAGATAAAAGAAGGAGAACGAAAATATACAATAAGAATTTCAAAAATTATAAATTTAAAATTAAAATTATTAAATAACAATTCAGGAGCTCTAAGTTAATCTAAAAGAAGCAAGTAATCCTATAAATCAATCTAAAAGTTTAATGGAGTTCATTTAGAATTTATATCAACATTAGAAGATACCAATACAAGAATAAATCTTTTCTTAAAACAATGAAGATAAATCTCGAGATTGTTTAAATTTATCATAAAATGTCAATTTATTTGATTCTGAAAGATAAATCAACTCACACATGAAATAAAAACAATTCAGTTTGCAACAAATTAAATAATACACATCGATAATACTTTATGATTTAATAAATTTATTATCATATTAGGTTTCTGCAAATTATCATAATATCAATAATGATTCAAGTAATTAAGAATAAACTTAAGATGAATAAAAGCTCAATTAACCTATAACACAATCATAAGATTATCCAAAATAATAATAATTAAAAGGTCAAGAAGGTAATATTGCAAACATTGAATAATAAATTATTGAATCTTCTGAAGATGGTATAAGTTAAAATTTAGAATCAATATAGGAATATAAGGATCATATAGAAAATTTAAAAAATGAATTATTGAAATAAGTTAATTAGTATAATTAATAACACAAAGATCAAATAAATGTATTAAATAAAGAAATCTCAGATTTGAAAAACCAAATAGATATTTTAAAGTTGAACTTTATTAAAGAATAACAATAATCAAATGAATAAAATATTAGAATAGAAAATAGAAACAAAGATTTATCAAAGTAATTATAAGATTTAACGAAATAATTATAAGAATCAAAGGAAGCCAATTAAAAAATAGAAGATAACAATAAAGATTTAACAAAATAATTATAAAATAAATCAAATGAATTATAAGTATCTTATGAAAACAATATTAAAATAGAAAATAGCAACAAAGATTTTACAAAATAATTATAAGATTCATAATAGCAATTAAAAGAATTTAAATAAATTAGTATAAAAGAAAATTAAAGTTTGAAATAAGAGTTAGAAAATCTGTAAAAGAAAACTTAAGAAGACAAAGTAAGGCAAGGGAAGGAAGTTGATGAATTAAAAAGAACAATAAAAGAGCTTCAAGAAAAAGATAAAAAATAAAATTTAGAAATCTCAACTCAAAATAAAACATTATAAGAATTCGAGTAGCAAATTAAATCTGTACAAATAAAACTAGATTAAGAAATGATCCCTTTAAATAAAGTTAAAGCCTTAACTGATTTCTTTAGAAACCCTTAAAATCTAAAGGAATTTTCTGATAAGTATTTCAAAGAATATATGCAATTAGTGGAAAATATAAATTCATGTTGTTGAATTTATAAAATTAAATAATCACCATATAAGTAGTCATAGTTTCTCAATATTTATTTAAATTATTTCTATTATATTATATTAAATTCCACTAGATTATTTCTTTTAATATTTAATTCTAATTCCTTTCACAAATTTTAAGTTTATTATTAATCCTTTCTATTTAAACAATATAATTCAACCTTGAGTATTATTATGATTTAATCCACAATTAGTTAGTAAAAATCTTTTTCAAATATTGTTTTACCAACATTTATCAACAAATAATTGAAAAAATAATCTGATATAACTTGAAACATTATATTGAGCAGATATCCTACACACATTGAACTTGAAATTATTTCTTAATTCAAAATATCTATTCTTATTTAAAGAATGTAAATTTATATTAATTATATTAATGAATATAATTTTCTTAACTTATAATCGACTATTAAATTAAATTTTATCAATCTGTACTATTTTTATCAATTATAGTAGTTGTAAGGTGCTTTAATGATTCATTAACTTACATTTTTGAACTTCAAACGGAGTCTTTTTATGGGCCATGTTTTATGACTACCTCTTGACTCTTCAGATATATTCTAATTCTTATTGAAATCAGAAAATGATTTAATCCTTATTACTAATCTTCTATCCCTTAGCTTTGCAATTTTTCATTCAAAGTTTGTTTATCGTTTATAATATTGCTACTTGATTAACTATTAACTATAAACATGAATCTTTGACCAGACATCTTATCTTTTTAGGGAATTGTATGCAAGAAATTTTACTAACAATGTGAGAAAAATTTTGGTCCAATTAACTTATCAAAAATATATTGAATCGCAGTAATATAACGTTACTACATTCCTTAAAGAGAATTAGAGTTTGTAATTGTAATTATACTAATAAAAAATATTTATAAATTGATTATAAAGGTAATCGAAATTGTTACCCTAGATAAGGATAAAACTTTAGAATAACTAATAAAGTGAACGTATAATATCTTAAAGAAAATAAAAGTATTTGTGATTAAGAATTAATAAGTTTTCTGAAAACTAGTTTAATTAATATATAATGCTTATTATAAATTTTAATAGAAATAGAAATGAAATATCACTAATTGTCAAATTGCTATGTAGAAGCTAAAACAAAAGAATATCAGAATAGGAGATTTCTGCTATAGTAACATCTTGGTTCTGGCTCAGAAGGTGCAGCTTATCTTGCTAATGCCGAGAATTGGGGCAATAATCCTTAATAAGTTGTAATTAAAATACAAAAGAACATGAAAGCTAATGAGAGAGATTTTCTAATAAAACTAATATAATACTAAAACTAGTACGAGAATGGAAACAATTTGCAATATTAACCAAGCCAACTAATAAAAATATATGACTTTTTTGAATGGAAAGAAAATCAATGCATTATAATGGAAGTTGGGTAAGAAAATTTATATGAATACATTGGTAATAAAATGGATTTATCAATGGAATAAAGAGTAAAAATTTGTTTTTAAGTAATATTTTATAAATATAATTATAGATCTGTCAACCAATATATTTTTTACATTCATAGAAATTAGTCCATCGGGATATTAAACCTGAAAATTACAGTAAGGTAGGAGACATTTTTAAACTTATTGACTTTGGCTTGATTAGGGGTTCCATATCTGACAACAAAACATAATAAGTTAGTAGTGCCATTTTTCAAGCACCAGAAATTTTAGAAAATAGTAGTTCATATACAGAAAAAGTTGACATCTGGTCTTTGGGCTGCGTTTTTTATGAAATATTATCAACTTAACCATTATTTGATGGTATTAATAAATTAAAATTATAGGATAAACTATCCAGTAAGTTCTGACTAGTATAAGGAATCATAAAAATTAGCCATTTATTACTAATAATAAAATCAAAAACTTAAAAATTTCATCAGATGTTAAGGAAATTTTAATTAAAATGATCTAGTATCAAGATCATGCTCGACCTACAATAGAATGGGTTTATTTACAATTCCAACAATATTACAAAAATAACGTCCAGAATTCAGCTCTTAATCAATAACAAATAGGTACACCTGGTTTCCTCAAATTTAATGTAATCCTTAACCTTCAAACTAAATACTACCTTCATCGTAAATTTCAATATAAAATTCCCTTCCAAATTAACCTCCATAAGATAACCAGAAAATAACATTAGAATAAATATTTTCTAAACTAAATTTATTAGAAAATCAAGTAAAAGAAAAAGATAACCAAATTTAAGCCTTAAGCTAAAATCTAGAAAATATTGTATATTTATAATAAGTGGAGAAAGACAATTAAAAATAATAATTATAGAGGAATTTAGATGAATAAAATAAATAGAATTTGAATCAAATAGACTCCCTAAAATAATAAGTAAACTAAGAGAAACTTAATTAGAACATTATCTTAGAAGAGAAATTAAAATAATTTGAATAACAAATAACTGCATAATAGACTAAAATTTAAGAGATTGATAAAAGATCTCTCAGCAAGTCGGATTTGAATTTTTAAAACCAAAAAGTAGTTACAGAATAACAAAATTTAAAAAGCAAATAAGAAGATAAATATAAATTAGAATTAACAAAAGCAATTTCAGAATAAGAAACTAAATATAAAGTAGAATTAAAAACAGTAATTTAAGAATAAGAAGATAAATATAAAGAAGCATTAAAAAAAGAAATTTCAGAATAAAATTTCTAAATTTAAAAAATATTTAACATTCAACATGTTGAAATCAAGTAAAATTTCGATGAATAATTAAACTCACTTAATTAAAAGTAATTGTGCTAAATTGAACCTTATAGTAAAATAGAATAAGGAAAATTAATTATGGAAATTAAAACTATTGTTGATGAAAGGGAGTATTACAAAATAAAAGTCAATTCTCTTTCATAGAAGATTCAATTAATAGAATAGGAATTTAATAAAGAAAAATTATAATTAACTGAAAGCAATAATGTAATCGAAAATAGTAATAAGGATGTTACTGAATAATTATTTGATTTATAAAATAAATTAGAAAAACAATATGCAATTTTTGGTTTGTAAACAATATAAATAAAATAATATGAAGAAAGTAGCATAAAAGAAAATAAAAGTTTGAAATAAAAGTTAGAAAACTTGTAAAAGTAAACTTAAGAAGTCAAATTAAGGCAAAGTAAGGAAGATGATGAGCTTCATAAAACAATAAATGATCTTAAAGAAAAACATAAAGAATAGAATTTAAAAATCTCAACTCAAAATTAAACATTATAAGAATTCTAATAGCAAATTTAATCTTTGTAAAATCAACTAAATTAAGCAAAACTACCTTTAAATCAAGTTAAAGCCCTAACCTATTTCTTTAGAAAGACTTAAAATATAAAGGAATTTTCTAATAACAATTCGAAAGAAATCTCGGAATTATAAACATCTATAAAAGATTCTTGTTGAATTTATAAATTTAATAACCCCTAAACTAATATGTATAGATTCACAAAATTTTATTTAAATGTTTAAATGCATTCAACTATCTATATCAATTTTTTTTAATTTACTCCTAAATTCGCAACAAACCCATTCTCTATAATCCGTTAATTTCAAAGAAATAAAATAATCAAAGTGATTTAATATTAAATAATTATAATTATGTTTATGCTATTTCTAAATATCTTTTCTCATTAAATTAAATCTTTTAAAAAGATAAAATATTTTAAAATTATATGAAAACTATTAAAAATATTTTCTGAATTTATCTCGAATTATAAATTTAGAATAGTTTATATGAAAATTGAGCAACTTCAATATTGTGCTCGCATATAAGACTTTCCCTGGATGAGATATAAAATGACAACATTTACACTTATTAAATATTGAATTAAAAAATAATAATAAATATTTTACAATGCTTCTATGTTTATTAATTACACTAAAATATCTTTGTCACATATGTTGGTGTATTCTTAAATCCTTCTCATAAAATTCTGTTTAAAGAACTATAGTGTCTTTTTAGATTTAGAACCTTTACTTTCAACTGATTTATAGTTCGGTTCAACTAACTAGACGGGAAATTCATTGAGTAGCTTATCTTTCTGCAACATTATTAATTATTAACAATTTATTATCGACTTATTGCTTGGTTCTAACTAATTAATTTTATATCTAATTTACTCAATAGCTAGGCAATCTTCGTGAAAATCATTTGCTTAATTTAATGAATATCGAGTTTTGGGATGATTGGCTCGAAATGTATTCCATATTAAAATTGCTTTTAACAGATTAATGTGAATAGTATTATCTGAAGCGTCTTTCATAAATTTAAGTTAGGCTAACAAACATATCAAAGAACTTGACAGCTGTGATAGCGAACTCATTGCCTCATAGGATTTTTACTTGAAAATTGTTAAAAGAGTATGCTGATCACTGTAAAATAACAAATATATCCTTCAAATTATTCCTGAATTCTTTAGAAATTTTCATTTATTTCAATTTTTTCAGTATATATAATTGAGATATTTGATTTATCATCAAATATATTCATATGGAAAAGAAATAAAGATATAATATTCGGCAAATCGACGAAATTTGTAGACCTCCAATTTTTCAGAGAACAGATATTATAGATTAAGCTGCATATTTGAATAATTTAATTTTTATCAAGACATACTAAACCTTAATATAAAATTGAAAATCTTTTATGACTATGCTTGATTTATCATTAACAGTTTTCTCTGTTAGAAATTTAAATAGCGTTAAGTTATTCAATTATTTTCAATTTCTTCATAATTTACAATTTGAAACAAAAAGAAGTTCCATTCAAATATTTTCTTGGAATGAATGTTATTAAGCATATATGATAAATTGTTTAAGATATTAACTACTATATTAAAAGCAACATTTTTCTTTAGATTAAACGCAGTATTGATAATATCTTTAAATTTACACTATTTTATAGAATAAATGAAATAGATTTGTGATTTATTGGCATTAACAGAATTTATTTGAGTAGGAAAATTATATATTAATCAAGAGATCATTTGTATATATATTAAGGAATTCGAATGTGAAAAACTATATTATTAATTTGAAATTTTATCAAATACCAATTATGAACATTAAGCCAAGACTTTATGGAGAAGCAAATTTAAAAAAGAGACCATCATACTTTGAATTTGAAAACATAGATATTAATTATGGGTATATTGAATATTTATTGTTAGACAACTTGACAATTATGAAATAGTAAGGAAAATTGGAAGAGGAAAATATGCAGAAGTTTTTGAAGGAATCAATGTAAATATGCTTCAAAAGGTTGTTATCAAAGCTTTAAAGCCAAGTATTAAATATTAGATATCAAATAGTAAGACAAAAAAAGATAAAGAGAGAAATCAAAATATTACAAAATTTGAATGGGTAAAACAATGTGTTGAAATTACTTGATGTTGTATATGATCCAGCCTCAAAGACTACAAGTTTGATTTTGGAGTTCATCAACAACACAGATTATAGAGTATTATACCCTCAATTGCAAGACTAAGATGTTCGCTTTTACATGTATGAAATATTGAAAGTATTTTAAATACATATATGTATAGTCTCTGGATCATTGTCATAGTATGGGAATTATACACAGGGATATCAAACCTCATAATATAATGATTGATCATGAAAAGAAGTTATTGAAATTGATTGATTTTGGATTGGCCGAGTTCTATTTCCCCAATAAAAATTATAATTGTAGAGTGGCTTCTCGATATTTTAAATCTCCAGAACTTCTTCTAGATTATTAATATTATGATTATAGTTTAGATATTTGGAGTTTGGGAAGCTTATTTGCTGGAATAATCTTTTAATAAGAACCATTTTTCCATGGATAAGATAATAATGATTAATTGGATAAAATAGCTAGAGTATTGGGAACAGACGATCTAATGAACTATCTTTAGAAGTACAACATCTCATTGGGTCCAAACTTCGAGAATGTCCTAGGATAACACCCAAAAAAACAATTCAACAAATTTGTGAATGAAGACAATGAGCATTTAGCAAAGGCTGATGCAATTGAACTCTTATAGAGCATGCTTATTTATGATCATGTAAACAATTATTTAATGAATCTAGAATCTAAGAATTACAGCCAAAGAAGCCATGTTGCATCCTTATTTCCAATCAATCAGAAAGAACTCTAAAAGGTAATGATAGTTAGAGCCTTAAATTAATGCATTAAATATACATCTTATTTTAATGAAGTCTTGTTTATCAACTATTAGACATTTGCTGATAATTTGAAAAAAATTACAATTCAGACAAATTCTATAGAAATTTCTTTTCAAACTTTCATTAGTGTTCAAATATTCAGACATTTAACTATTGAATTTATTCAAGTCTCTTCAATTTATCCTACATCAAATATTATTAAACTGTAATGATTAAACAATAAATTTATTAATATAAAAATTATCAGGCATTCAACAGGCTTTGCTTGATTTCAGTATTCTTTGTAATGATTATTAAAGTGTGGACAATTCATGAGCATGACTAATCATTAAGTATAATATCATACCCTCTAGTAAAATTTGTTAATTCGTTTCTTGGAATTGCATTCAATTTAGCTGTTAATGATACTATGTCTGTTTATGAAATTGATGGATTGTTTTGATTTAATCTCTCATTAAATTAGATTAATTTAGTATAATTAAGTTCTAGACCAGATTGATAGATTGCATCATTTCCCATTCTTGTTATCCCTGTATTTTGTAATTATAGTTCTATGTCTAGTTTGGAGTCCCAATTCTTAAATCTATCAATTTTCTATTTCGTTCTTGAGGGAGAATCTTAAAATGATTGTTTCTATTTCGTTCTGGTGATTCTCTGAATAAGCGCATTCTTACAGGAGATACATTAGTAGTATTTACTGCCTTTACTCCTTTGTGAAATGAGTGATCAGCATTTCCTATCTTACTAATAGCTGTAGATAAAATTCCAAGTTGATTGCTTTGCTTATATATTTTGCTGGTGTCGTTTATGTTGATTGCGCTTTTATTTAACATTATTTTATTGCAATTTTATTTTTAATAGTAAATTTATTACTCTTAAACTATTACTAATTATAATGAATTATTTTTCATACTATTTAACCATTTTTAATAAAGTTAGGATAATAATCGAAACAGAGATCTCGTTAATTCATTCAAAAACATTTTTTATATTCAAGTAATTTAGATATCACATTCATTTAAGTATGAGTTCATAAATAAATTCTGGTTATTTATTAGATTCATTTTGTTAAAGTAAATATTTTGATATTTTAGTTTTCTCATAATATGGATGTGTCGGAATATATTCCTATATAAAGTAAATTCTTATTGAAAGTATATTAATTTATTTTTGTAATTAAATTCTTTGGTTCTAATATTGTTGAAGTTTCGGATCATCTTTTAAATAATTTGTATGTTACTAAAATTGCAAGCTTTAAGTTAAATATATACCACTCGAATCCTTTATAAACAATAAATTATAATGATGATATTTTTGAATTGTTTTTGGTTTATCTTTAATATAATATATAAATCTACATCGATAGACGAAATTATCTGAAAATTTCAGTTTACCTTCTTTTCTATGTGAGCGTCAATAATCGAATTAATATTAATTCTTTTCACTATAAATATTGAATTTATTTATAGTCTAGCATCAATAGCCGTGATAATATGAAAGTTTGTAAGAAATGATAATAATTTATAATATTCATATAAAATGGTATTCTATAATCAAAAGTATTAATATTATATGAATAAGATTCAGGATTTTATCATTAATTAAGTCATTGATGCCAAAACTTCAGAATTTCCAAACAGATAATTTAAGATTATCAAAGAGATTGGATGGGGAGGTGAAGGCTAAGTTTTTTGAAGCTGAAGTAAAAGAATGGAAAAAAAAATTCCCAAATAAAGTTGCTATAAAAAAATAGCACATGCTTAACTAAAAGGAAAAAAATATAATTGAAGCCATTATGAAATATTAAGAGTAACATGAATTGAAAGAATCAAATAAATAGCCCTCCACTTAGTTAGTAAAAATTTATGATATAATTCAAATGAACTCAGAATCCGCTTTTGTGATGGAACTCGGAGAAAATAATCTTCTTTTTTATTTAAAGAATAATAAACCATCATTAAAGAAAATCTTATAAATAAATTAGTTGTCTTAATCGATTAGGTTTATACATCAAGACTTAAAATCAATGCATAGAGATATTAAACCAGAGAACTTCATTTATATTGGTGATTAATTCAAACTTATTGATTTTGGAACTGTTCGATACAATACTAATATTGATAAGACAATCTAAATAGGAACTACTCTATACCAAGCACCAGAAATGGTTAATGGCTAATCTAACCATACCGAAGCAATTGATATTTGGTCGCTTGGTTGTGTATTTTATGAATTTTTCGGTCCAGAGCCATTATTTTATGGTATTTCTATTAAAAAAATTAGGAAAAATTCAAACTGCAGTTAAAAATGATATTTAATCTATCATTACTAATTAAAAAGACTTAAAGGAAAAAATAAATTCAAATAAAGGAGGATGAGGGAATCAAAAGGATTTTGTTAAAAATGCTAGGCCAGATATTAAATTGAGAATCAGCATTATTTAAGTTTTAAAGATGCTGAATGAAATTCTTTAATAGTAAAGTGTTTTCGTATAAAAGCCAAATTTGAATCCCCCTTCAGCATATACTCCGAATTTTCAAAATCAAGTTCCAAAATATTAAACCTAGTAATAGTAAAACCTTAATTAATTCATATAAAATGGAAATAATTCCCATCAAAATAATATAAACCAATAAGCATTATTGAATTAGTTAATTACCAACTAAAAAGATTATAATTCATAACACTTAAAATAAAATTCTTAAATTTAAGATAGATTAACTCAACTATCGAATTTATTTGAAAAAAAAAGTTTAGAAAATTAGGAATAAAACAAAATTCATATTCAATAAGAATTTAAAGAATTTTAGCATTAGTTTTACACCAAATTAAGTAATGAATGCAATTACTTGAAAATAATAAACAATCAAATTATAGAATAAAAAAATATATAAATCTAAGATTTGAATATAAAAGAACAACTAAATAATTAGGTTTTAAAACTTTAATCAAAATTTCAAGAATAGGTTGAAGATTAATAAAAGAAGGACTAACAACATTTTATGGAAATATTTTAGAAAATTAATAAATCTTATGAAGAATATACTAAAAAATTAGAAAAATCTTGTCAAGAACACAAAATTTAAATTAACAAATGAAAGAAACCTTAAATTTATATTTAAATCACTTAACAATGAGAAATGAAAAATCTGTTCCTAACTTAAATCTATAAGTTGAATATCAACCATAGAATAATTACAATTAGAACATGCTTAATGTATCAATGTATAATCTATAAACCTCATAATTATACCAAAGTGGAATCATTGATTAGAGAACTCACACTTAGAAGTAAGAAATTATAATTAATACAATAGATAATAAACTCAACAACCTAATAAGTAAATATATGATGAAATTTCAAGAATTTAGTAATTATTATAACATTCTAACTATATAGATTTAACTGAGAATATCGATACTCTTAATAATCTAAAAGAATAATTTATAACCTAATTCAAAAATTATATCTCCACATTCTGCTACGAGTATAATTAGGTTATAGAGGAATTCAAAAATATGATTTTGGATTTGAAAGAATAATGCAAAGGATTATACTAAAATTTTTCAAATTCCTTCTATAATTTGTCAGAAGAACTAAAATCAAAAATTATTAATTTGATAGAACTTAAATCTTATTTTGAGGAAAAGGTACCCAGATGTGGTATCTTGAGAAAAAACAAAGAAACATGGAATGATTTTATAATATATGATATACCTAAATAATTTCTAAAGATTTTGATCAGACATTTTTAGAAAAAACTAAGATCGGAGAATCTATAAGTTTTTTATATTTTTAACCTGAAAATCTTTCTTTAATAATATTTTTTTAATACAACTTTAATTTATTTTAGGAAATTTATGATTATTTTAA